AGGTCACTAGCGCGGCCCGCTTTGCCAAGGACCCGCGGCCCACATCAGCCAGCCCCACTTCGAGGCCCGTCTCCGCTCGCCCACCACTCTCTTGGCCCACACAATTCAACTTGCGGCCCGAATCCCGCTCAACTTCCGCGCGTGAACGAAGCCCGACTCACCAGCCCGGCCCAACACGGGTCTCGCGACTCTCGCCGCGCTTCAAAAAATAATATCGTCGCCAGCAATCATCGAACCGGCGTCATTTCTCCACCAGACGTACGAGTTAACCAGCGGACTAGAGCGCTTTGTTATTACTAAAGCGCAGCGCGCCCTATTTATTCACTCTGACTCGCCTCGACAGCAACGAGCAAAGAGGGCTCTTGGGCAACTCGAGGCCCACCTGACCGCCTGTCCAACTCGCGGACGATCTCCAAGGCCTCCTTGCGCACAACTCCGTCCGCTCCCAAGCTCGCGGAACAAGCCTCGAGCGCATGCCCAACTCGCGCCGGCCCGCATCACCAGCCCGCGACGCGCGCAGGCCCAACTCGCGACACAAGCATCGCAGCGTCTTCCCCCAGCCCGCGACGCGTGCAAGCCCAACTCGCGTCCGGCCCGCATCACCAGCCCGCGACGCGCGCAAGCCCAATTCGCGGCCCAACTCGCGCGTGCATTCAACTGTTCAGCACTCTCCAAAAAATATCATCGCCACGAGGACTCGAACCCGCGCCACTCCTCCGACAGGTAAGCATCCTTACCAGCAGGCCACAAGCACCTTGTGTTTCAACGGTGTGGCGCCTGAATTTTAACATTCGCGCAAAAGGACATGGTTCGAAAGAACAAAAATTAGCAATAGTCCAGCACTATTCGCGCAAAAGGACATGGTTCGAAAGAACAAAAATTAGCAATAGTCCAGCACTATTCGCGCAAAAAGGACATGGTTCGAAAGAACAAAAATTAGCAATAGTCCAGCACTATTCGCGCAAAAGGACATGGTTCGAAAGAACAAAACTTAGCAATAGTCCAGCACTATTCGCGCCCAGTTCGAAAGAAAAAAAAAAAATCAGCAATAGTCCAGCACTATTCGCGCAAAAAACAAAAGGACATGGTTCGAAAGAACAAAACTTAGCAATAGTCCAGCACTATTCGCGCCCAGTTCGAAAGAACAACCTGCAGGCTACCACTCAGGTTCTGTTTCAATGGCGCAGCGCCTGCCTTTCAACTACTCCTGCCGCCACTGCCAATATAAAGCTAAGTACTCTATCCCTCCATCATTATTAAATTTTTAAAATATTTTTACTATCCTAAGCGTTGATGGCGCTAATGGGGGGCAAGACGCAAAAGCTGGCACCGCGTCACTCAAACGCGCCACCAGCTGGGGGGCAACTGGGGTACATAGGCCCCACCCAAAATTACCGACAAAGATTTAAAAAATAAAGTATAAGCTAGCGATGAGTTAAAACTCACCACCAGCTTGGGGGGCAATTGTTGGGGGTGTGACTAAGGGACGGAGCGCACAGACTAAGCAGTAGGGCGCATAATCGGCGATGCCCAACGCTCGATACCCGCTACAGGTATATAAGGGCTTGAAGCCCTCCAAAGAAGTGAACTTCTCCTCTCTCCTCACTTTACACTTTCTACTATCTCTCTACATTTCATCTCTCTATCTACTCTCTCAACTCTCTCCATAAACCGACACTAACTTGACCGTCGGAGCTTAATCCGGGGGGCATCCCCGACTCTTTCACAGGTTCTCTCCCTCCCGACGAGATCAGACGAACGAATCGTGAGTCAACCCCGCGTCCAACAAATATCATTGTTCGATCCGGAGCTAGATGGGTCAAACATCTTCCTATTATATTAATTCCTTCTTCTATCATTCATCACCACCCGCAAAACCCACATATATACTTCCTCTCTAATGTAATGTCTCATTTTCATTCGCCAAATTCTTAGTAATTAGCATGAACTGGAGATTATTGTAATGCACAAATTAATAACTACAATAAAGCACAAAAGGCCTAAAAATTACTAAACAACAACAGTGATGATTATAAATTGTTATGAATAGTACACAACAGCGACGAACTAACCTGATCAAAATTATTTTTGTGAGAACTATGTTCATAAAGAATATCGGTCGAGAATGCAGGCGCGTCGTCGCGGGGTCGGACGGTGGAACTGGGGGTTGGAGAAATCGCAATGGATCGTTTAGGTCGAGCTTTCGAAGAATGAAGAGAAATGTTTGTGTCCGTCTGGATTTTTTTTTTTGTATTAACTTTTTGGACTTAATTTGGACCCAATTTAATTTTGTGGGTGAATCTGCTCATCAAAACCTTATTTAACCCACCATCTATTAGGTTTGGATAATACCCACTATTTCTTAAGCTTACATGCTTTTTAGGGATTAATGTAAGTCGATAATAAAAGACATAAGCTTTACATTACATGATACTAAGGGAGAAGTCTTCCGCCTCGGTCCTTATACATTTAATTATAGACCCAAGTTTATCTAAATAAAAAAGATAAATACAATTTATTAGCCAAAAATTTTAAATTATTAGCCAAAACATTTGACTAATGCATTTAAAAAATTTTGACTAATAAATTGTATTTAAAAAAAAAAGTTTCATTTACCCAAGAAATACTCCTTTTAATTTTCTTCTCCTCCTAGTCCTGTTTCTCCTTCAACGCTGGTGCTGCTGCTTTTCCACCTTCCCCACGGAGCTTGCTTTTCATGGCGGCGGAATGATGTGGCGGGAGAGGGACGGAAACGCCAGAGCGGCCGAGATGATCTCCGGCGCGGGTCGAACCGGACCCGCCCCCTTGAAACGGGTAGACCCGGCTTTGGGTTGGCCGGCCCCTGGTGGAGCTAGGAGAACCACCACCCTGCAACCACCACAACCAAGCTCCCATCGCAATTAATTAATTAATTAATTAAAAGCTGCAGAAAATACAAAAAAGTCCGTCCGTACGGTCAAACCTGGGGGGAGAGGGAGAGCCTTGCGGTTTGGACCGCACCAAACCGCTTATTAAAGTGGTTCGGTTTGACCGCACCGATTAAATTGCGATCTAATATGCGGTGCGGTCCAAATAACATGCGGTGTGGTTTCCACACATTGCAATGCAAAAAAACCCCAGCTTGAAGGGCCTTTGCCCTTGTCTGGTTTGAAGGGCCTTCGTTTACCTGGGCCGGGCCGCTGGGGTATGAAGCCCACAGTTCTGTGTTACGAACCCACGGTTTTTATTTTGGTCTTAATTCCAAAAGTTTATACTTGCTTTTCTAGTGGTGCGAACATGGTAATTAGTATTCTTTCCTCCGTACAAAGGAACTTCAACTTCAACTAGAGAATGCAAAATTGTCTATTGGTGATCAATATGGATTATACCTTTCTTGCATGATCAGCGGTGCAAATTCCATTTTCTATGAAACTTAATTATGTGTTTGGTTCTGTGCAAGCATGAAGTGGGTTGAATTGAAGATGAGCGAGGTTGGAGTACACTAAGCAATCCCAATTACAAAATTATTACTGCTCTCCTGGACCATTTAGGCGATGATTACAGTGCAATCTGATGCATCACGTACGGGATCTTTGACGGCAAGCCACTTTGATCGACTGGTGGTGCGTTTATGGTTCGACAGTTCGGTCACAAATCCGTTTTGAATTGGGTTTATTTCGGTTGCGAACAAATCGAACAGAGATCATGTTCGAATGGAGTTGGCTAGCAAAGAAGAGACATTTAGTTGTCGATTTTGTTTTGGGTTCGGTATCGTTGGACCACTGTATGATAAACCAATAATATATATATTTCTAAAAAAATTTATTTTAAAATATATCAAACTCGATGTCATTTTGAATGATGCAATCAATCTAATTTTTCAATTTAGTTCGGACTTAAAACGAAAAAAAATACATGTTATGATTAGTTATTATTTGGTTGTGGTTAGTAAAATGTTATTTTTTGCTCTGTGTTGTACGTTAAATTTCCGAGTTTGAGCCTTTGGGATTAGTACGTTATGTGTTTTGATTAATCATGTTTATGGGCTTAGATTATTAGGCTTAGATTTAGGTGGGTAGTAGGGCCTTAGTACATGGGCCGGCTTAGCAGTCGAGGTGTTTGTGTATTGTGAAGGCGGCTAGGAGGTAAGTAGGCTTCCTTATTAGGTTTTTCCTTTCTTATATATAAACGGTAAGTTATGCATTAATCCGATCAAGCAATCAATAAACTAAAAGGTTCGTCGACACCAACATTGTTCTCTAACTTGTACAAGCAAAACCTCTAAATTGTGGGTTACGATTCATCAAATAGTTGATGTTTTGTAGAATAAATTTGATGATGTTCGAATTTGTTGCTCATGTTGCAATGTCCCAATAACTCTTATTTGTTTTGACTCTATGTATCTTCTCTTGACAATTTTTGTCGTTCTTCGGTGACCATATATATGTGGACGACAGGATAAGACTAGACCTAAATAAGCGTCGTCTAAATATAGCTAGATTTGGTTAAGCTATAAATCTCAAATGAAAAAATTTATGACCATTTGCATGTTCAATTTGAAACAATACATGCATCATGTACGTCTCAACCCTTTAGGCTCTCCACAAGGCTAAAATGTACTTTCGCTATGATTAAGATATATACCAAATAATAATTACGGGTTTATTAACACCCCTTAATAGCTCTTCATTGGTTCGAAACTCTTGTGTTTAGATTCTGTATAGTCTTGTTCAAATTTCCCCGTTCAACGTCATGGATAACATACACTTATTTCTATGAATACACGGTAAAAAGATATTTTAAAATTAAAGAACACCAGAAAGCTTGTTTTTATAACACAATAACGGGGAAGAAGAAAAAAGAACTGGCTATAACCGGTGGATAGTAGACGGGGAAGAGGAAAAACTGGCTATAGCCGGTGGAGAGTAGACGGCGTGACACCCTCCTCACTATAAATATAATATGTGTGTGTATCCTTCCTACTCTCCATTTCCATTACGCTCTTAACCCCAAAAAAAAAAAAAAAAAAAGACAAAACAAAATATAATATGCTGAATCCGGCGGCCGAAGAATTCCAGCCGGCCGGCCTGCCGCTACTCAACGACACGACAGTGATGATCAAGAATATCCCAAATCGATACAGGTAATCATATGCATGCATATATGATTAATTAGTCCACCAAAAAATTTACGTCTCGGCTAGCTTAATCAGTAATCACCACCTTGTTTTAATGTTTTTGGTCCGTGATTAGCCGGAAGATGCTAATTGAGTATATGGACGGCCATTGTGTCCTCCAAAACCAGAGAGCGGCGGGAAATATTGAAGCCGGAGCTGATGTGCGTTCGTGTTATGATTTCCTCTACCTCCCATTTGATTTTAGGTACGTACGGTAATTTTTCCTTTTGACGCGCTTCTCGTCAATTAATTTATTGGCTTCCAAATTGAAATAAAATTATAAATATACATGAGTAATTTTTTTCACTCGCCAAATTGAATAAAAAAAAAATTTAAAACAGGACAAAGGCAAACAAAGGTTACGCGTTCGTCAACTTCACCACCCCAGCGGCGGCATGGAATTTCTGCCTCGCCGCCGGCAACAGGCCGTGGGCCCACTGCCAATCCCGGAAGCTCGCGGTGATCGTCAGAGCCAAGCTGCAGGGCCTCCGCCAGCTGCTCGATCGTTTCGAGCCCACCGTCTTCCCCTGTGATTCCGGCGACTTCCTGCCGATCCGGTTCGATCCGCCGCGGGACGGCTCCGGCAGAGACGACGTGGCGGCGGGACAGTGCTACTGGACGGTCGGGAGGTGCCGCCGCCGCTTCTGACAAAATCATGATTAGTGGCAGCTGTGAGCCTGTGACTATGGATATATATGTGTGCTTTAATTAATGTGTGCTTTAATTACTGCTTAATTAGCTTTCATTTAGCTAATTAAGCAGTAATTAAGCAGTGACTAATTATGGATATATGTGTGTGTGTTAATGTGTGCTTTAATTACTGCTTAATTAGCTTTCATTTTGCTAACCCTATGTATGGGTGTTCTGGCGGAAACCTACCTTTTGTTTTATATTAATATAGATGCACTTTTTTAAAGTTGACATTTTGTTGTTGGAGAGTGTTGTTTGAGGACCCTTTTTTTCCAATCTTGTGAAAACCGATTTGCGTACGTAGTGCATTGGTGTTTGTTATTGTAGCTCAATTTTAATTTTTTTTTAATGTTAAATCCATTCGCTTTCCATCTCACCGTTTAACACCTAAAAAATTATATGATTGACATGGTTAATTACATGGGGTTTGAATACGATATTGACGAGTTTTGGTTCCGACGTGACTATTGTCCACTTTTGTAATTAACGGGTTAGGTCAGTTGTGGGCTTTGATAAAACTCGGCCTGATGAGTTTCGAGTTGAATAGGATGTGGATTTTGTTTAAACAAAAAAGCTATTGAGAACATAGCAAGATGAAAAAGCTAAAAAAAAGAGGAGGGATTTATAGAACAAGAAAGCAGTTTGTTGGAAAGGAACACAAGCTAGAAAAGTTTTCAAGGAAAAAAGAAGCAAGCAGGAGTTTGTAACAAATCTCCCAAGTCACAATCCTTGCTTTTCGATGTTAACATAAATTTGATCATGTTGAGGCTTAAGGCTTTTGACAAATTGAGGCTTTTGGGCCATTTTTAGCATATATCCACTTGGAGGAAGCTAAGTGGAGCTCCAAGTTAGCATAAGACATATTGCAAATACTACTGTAAAGAGTAGTATGTATTAACCTTAATTAGTTGTGAATGACGTGTTTGTTTTAGACTTGCATATGGAATTGTATTTGACTTGCATATGGAATTGTATTTGTTGTAAGCTTGCAAATATGCAATTGGTAACCACATCAATGCAATTGGTTTTGCAATTGCAAACACCTATACCATGTCATTTTCCAATTGAGAATGCAATGCCAATGTAGATGTTCAACGAATCATTAAATGATTACCCATGTTTTGCGGATAAAAATTATGACGGCCCAAACAACAACGATCCGCTAATTTATTTGACCTCATTAGATGATTTTTTTATTTAATTGCAATTAAAGGGGGAAAATAAATATATAAACGAGAAAAAAATGAAAAATCGTCTTCCTCCCACACTAGTATTCTCTCTGCCTCCCTCTGTCTCCCAGTTCCGACCACCACCGTGAAACCCACAAAAACTCATCGCTAAAACCCTCCACCGCATCTCTAACCTGGGAGTCGGGCCTGTCGATTTGAAATTGGGCCTCCTCGAGATGATGATGATTGCAGGGGAGAGGTACTCCGGCGGGGAAATGGTCATTATTGTCATGCAAGTTTGAAAAAAATGGCTATATCGGTGTATTTTTTAAAATGTGGCTATTATTGTCACAACGCAAATAGTTACAGCTATGGAAATGTATTTTGCCTTTTTTATATCTTTTAGTAGTTACCCTTACTTAGTTTTCTTGTGTGGATCCTATAAGAATAAGTTTATTGGAATAGTCGGTTAGTTGGTCTAATAGGTTTAGTCGTGGTCCAAGCAGAATTGAATCATCCACGGTTTGATAAAGATCAAATTGAAGAAATAACGATTTGATATTGGTACTTGATTTTGGATATAATTTAGGGTTAATATATTTCTATCGCCTGAACTTTGCACATAATAAACATTCTGGCAAATCTTTTCGATCTATAACATCATGGCCCGAACTATACATCAAAGTTAAGATATTGGCCAAACTCGATGTTTGACCGTTATCCTGGACGGTCAAACGCGTTGACTAACGATCAACACCCACGTCATTGCCAAGTCAGCACCTTTCACTTAAATTTTTTTTATATTTTCCACCTATTACCATTTTTCTTTTTCCATTTTTAACAAAAATAAAAAATAAAGGAAAAAGTAATTTTGGGTCCCCCTATATCTCTCATAATTTTTTAAATAATGTTTTTTAAATTCCACCATTTATTTCACTAATTTCAAATTAATCTTCTACAAAATACCCATTTTCGAATTTTCACAAATATAAACAAAACAATAAAATTAAAAAATGTCACCATTTATTTTTCACTAATTTCAAATTAAATTTCAATAATATACCTATTTTCAAATTTTAAAAAGCATCTCAACAAAAAAATCAAAGAAATAAATTTAAAATTTTGTAAAATAAATCAAAACTGAAAATGAAAAAGCATTAATTGAAAATAAAAATATATAATTTCCCATAATTAATTTTCCACATAATATTTATCTTCAAATTTTCCAAAAATATGAACAAAGAATCAAAAAATGAAAAAATATTTTGTAACATTGAAAATTTATAAAATTTCACCATTTATTTTCAGTAATTTCTAATTAATTTTCCACATAATACCAATTTTTTTAAAATATCCATTTTATAGGTGGAAAATATATAATTTTTTTATGTGAAAGGTGCTGCTTGGCAATGACGTGGCGCGTTGACCGTTAGTCAACGCGTTTGACCATCACCGATAATGGTCAAACATCGAGTTTGATAAATTTAGTAACTTTGATGTATAGGTCAAGCCATAATGTTATAAATCGAGAAGAATGACCAAAATGTTTATTATGTGCAAAGTTCTGGCCATACAAATATATTAACCCTATAATTTAGTCTCGTTCTAGAATGATTTGGTCCACCTTTTAACATGATCTACCGAAAAACCAACAATGATTTGTTCGCTGTTGCAGCCGACTTAATATCACCATCATCTTTGTAGTCATCGGTGTCCATCACCAACATCTTCATTCTTGCCTACACTCGCCACCCTCGGGAAAAACAAACAATCCCAAATATGTTGGGATCTAAATCCTGTGTGATTTTTTTTTATTTCACGTTAAGAAACTTGTTTTGTACTTTAATGAACTTGTGGTATGCTTTATCAAACTTCTGATAAGATTTATTGAACTTGTGCAGTGTTTTAAAAAACTTGTGACATGGTTATAAAATTTATGATATGTTTTATCCAATTCCCACAAACATAACAATTCTATTGTCACATTTAATGAACTTGTGGTATGCTTTATCAAACTTCTGATAAGATTCATTGGACTTGTGCGGTGTTTTAAAAAACTTGTGACATGGTTATAAAATTTATGATATGTTTTATCCAATTCCCACAAACATAACATTTCTATTGTCACATGATATGTCTTATGTTATTTGTGGCGTGTTGAGTTTGTTGTAAGCTTTATAACTTCTCACATGTTTTATGAAATTTTTTATATACTTTGTAACTTTTGTCATGTACTATTATAGTATGTTTTTGAACTTTGTGAATTTTTCTTGTTTGTGGTGGCGGTTGTGATTCGTGGTCCCCAATTAACTTACACTAATCAGTTGGGGAGACTTGTGCATGGAATGATTGACATTTGGTTGCTTTGAGAGTTTTTTTTTGTATACACTGAAACCAATTATGTGATGAAAGGATGAGGGAGGGAGGATTATGTCATGAAAGGTAGTCACTTTCCAGGAACTTCAATTAAGGTAATAAATGATAACTTCCATTAGAAATCAATCGGGGTTGGAAAATCCCATGAAGAAGGTTGCAATATTCACATGGTATTTCAGAGAAATGAGGGAAGGTTGCAAGGCGACCTTGCAAACTTTTGTTTGCTTGTAGGATTTTAGAGAAATGAGGGATTTTTATGAGACCCTGGATTTCAAAATTGAAGCATTATGTTGGATTTTTCTATTTTGAATGTATGTTGGATTTTTAAATGATTTGTTTGCTTGTTGAATTTCAAAAATAAATTTTAATATATTGGATTTTAAGGGAGAAATTTGCTTTTCTTTGCTTAATAAAATAATTTTATTTCTTTTAGATAGAATACTTTGATCATCACATGGTATTGTCTACATCTTCTCCCAAAATGAGTTTTGTGCAAATGGTCACAACAACCTTTCCCTCCCTTTAAGTCATTAGTTAGTTAAACAATATTCACATGGTATTGTCTATGTCTTTTTTCAAGATCTTTAATGACGATAATAAATATGGGGAGAGAATTTCTTGGTATAGAGTTTCTTACTTTCTTTATGTGCGAGTGAAGTTGTAAATATCAGATTTAATCAGACATAATTTAACTCGTCGGATAACGCGTGAGTTGCAACCTGATTTGAATTGGAAACGAGTTTTACCTGCTTCTATAATTAACGGGATGTGAATTTTTTGTTAAAAGCTCAATTCGCTCTTCATCCCACCCGCAGCTAAAAAAAACATACACAATGTGTAGACAGTACCAATCGTTTGGGTTTTGAGGATGTCTTTCCGACATAGTTTAACTTATGGTTTAGTGCCCATAACTAGAAAGCTTGGGTTTTGAGTTTTGACTTTGGTGTTTGCGCAAAGTAGAATATGCATGATTCTCCCCCTCCTAGAAAGCTAGCTTATGTGGTTGATAATCGTAGACCATGTGGCTTTGATTTCTTAGGCTCATCAGAGTCTTTTCTTCTTGCCTTTTTAATTAGGTCTGTCGAGCTCACTTCTAGAGGCTTTTTTTTGGTAATGATTGGCCAAAACTGATGGCTTCTAACAACTTCCAAGCTTGACTGAAATTGCCCAAAACGACCTAATTAGCAACAATGAGTTTGATTAGTTGGCCAAAGTTCCATTTTCAGCAACCATTGAACAATATGGTCGATGAAACATGCTTTATGGCAACCATAAAGTTAAGAAGTCGTTGAAACTCTGATCTACACAACTAGAAAATGCAACTATAAACAAGATGGTCTCTACTGTAATAGAAATTTCTGCAACTATATTTTATGGTGGTTTTTACTTTTTACTAGTATAGTTAAGCGACCATTCTCATTGGTGTGAAAATGATTGTACAGTTGCTGCCAAC